CTGAGATTGAGAGTCAGATGCTTAACCGACTGAGCCACTCAGGCACCCCTATATATAGATTTTAAAGCAAAAAGTCCTAAGATTTGGTCTTAAAAGAGAGTTCTACCTTTATAATGGGGAGGTACAGAGACAACCATGTAATGATAGTACACATAGGTACTTTAAAGTGCCTGAAGGCAAACATTTGCTGTGGTACTTGTGCAGTTTGAGACTTAGCTTACCTCTCGTTCATGAGGTATTTGCCTCCATAATATAATTTATCCACTATAAAATCAAGCTGTTATTTTCAACTGGTTTTCTTTTTCCAAATGCATAGGTTCTTATGAGTGGAATTTTAGGGAACAATGTCATGTAACCAAAGCAACCTGATGCCATCCTCATCATTGCCCAGCCTTCTAGGGAAATGATTCCCAACCTACTGGGAATCAGGGCTCATTGAAACAACAGATTGGTGGGCACCATCACAGTGTTTCTGATTCAGGTCTGGAGGGGCCTGAGAATTTGTATGCTGCTGGTATGGGGGTCACGCCGTGAGGACTACCGCTCCAGGGGTATCTTGGAATTTTCCCTATTGCTTGCCTTCTGTATCCACATTGACACCGAAGCTTGCCCTTCTCTGTCCTCTGTCTTTCCTTCCATTCCCATTCCTTTGACTTCTTTCTCCTCTTGAGGGGAGGGGACATAGAGGAGCCTGCTTGGTTCCATGACAGGATGGTTTGTGTCATCTGGTTTTCTCTGATTCTCTTATTTTCAAATATGTTCTTAACTCTTGGTTTTGTATCTCACAACTTTTATGAAGCTATAGTAGAGTGAACTTGAGACACTCCTAGGAGAAATGGAGTACCACTGTGGTTTGTCTGGGAGGAGATAGAGTGGTTAGGTGAGAGATACTCTTTTACTCTTAAAAAAATCATTAAGGAGTGAAAAAAAAAATGCTCATGTTATAAAGGAAGTTCAGGGGAAACCCAAGAAGTATCACGTGGCTTCAGTGTTTGAATTCCATAAGGAAGGAAATCTGTCAAGAGCTTATTATTCAGAGATATGAGATAGAGCAAAGAAAGTCAATGTCTCTTGGGTGGAGGGGGCTCAGGTAATAATGACGATGGGGTTTTTTTTAAACATTAACTAGTACTTTACCTTTTATAAAAAGCTCCTTTTTAAAAACATTTTATTTATTTATTTGACACAGAGAGAGACAGCAAGAGAGGGAACACAAGTGGGGCGGGGGGGATGGGAGAGGGAGAAGCAGGCTTCCCGCGGAGCAGGGAGCCAGCTGGACGCGGGGCCTATCCCAGGGCCCTGAGATCATCACCTGAGCCGAAGGCACACGCTTAACGACTGAGCCACCCAGGCGCCCCTATGAAAAGCTCTTAAATGCACCATACCTTTACAGCTACTCAAAAGGCAGGAAAATTATTATTTCCATTATAAACACAAGAAACTGAGGGTTATAAAATTAAGTGATTTGCTTAAGGCCACACAGCCAATTAAAGGGACCAAAACTGAACCCAAAAAATCGAATTGTAGTATAACTGTCTTTCACTTATGTCCCCACTCTAAGTTTCAGTGTTATAACCATTATGGAATATGCTTTACAGCCAAGGGCTTTCTGGTTCTCTACTGCGGAGCTTAGCTCCAAAGTCAATACGACAGACTACTTATTTGTTTCAAACACTTCCTTTCAGTGAATATGTGGATCATTAACACAGAGCTCCACAGAATTTTATTTGGAGTCCACGTCTCAGAATAGATTCTTTGCAGTTGTGGATAGTAAGTACTATTGACATTAAAGTTGGAGCAACTGAAATGCAAATCTAGGTAGCATGCGTAATAGCCATGGTGCAGAGAAGCCAAATCTCTTTCCTTTTAGCTCTATCAAGCTACTCTTTCTTAGTAAGATTTTTTTAGATTAGGTTATCGGTAAGAATACCAAAGCCATCCCTACTCTTCCCAGTATCCCTAGTACTTTCTAGAATCTTTTTAGACTAACATTTAGACTTTTTGCTCTGGATTTTTATCACTTCCACTGGGCTCTTGTGAAGTTGGGAGGCCCTGTTTTTTTTATGTTTTCCTAAGAAATTGGAGAGAACTTTGTTTTGAAATGGAGGCTGCAATGAATCCAGGTCCTGAATTACTTCCGTATGTTCAGGCTGTCTTGCCTTTTGAAAAATCTAGACCAATTGTTCTTTAACTTTGTTAGGTTATGGACTCCTTCAGCTAGACAAAAGTCTTGATAGACAGATGGCCCTTCCAAACTGCCACTGCCAGCTAATTCAGGGTGAATGGGAAGACTTTCACTTCTTTTAAATGAGGTGCTCAAGTGGTATCTGTGTATTATTAATTGTTCCCAGATGTGGCCATGTTATACACACCAATACAAAACCTTCATATTTTACTGAGGACCTTCATAGTTTATTAGAGATCTGAAGGCTACACTTTGAGCATTAACTCAGATTTATAAAATGACTTGTAGCTTTTGGATCTATGATGTCTAAATGTACAAACCCATTGCTGGTTTTCTCATGGGCAAATCTAGTTATTTGGGTTAACCACAGAATTCTTTAGTGAATCCATTGGATGAATGTGTTTATATAGCAAAAAGACAATTTTTCATAGTGCCCTGAAACTTTTGTGTTGCAAATTTAAAGCCTTATTTCAATATGTGATCTCATAGAGTATGTGAATTTTATTTCCACTAGGTCTACTAGAAGAGATGCACAGGGATGGCGGGGGGGGGGGCAGGGGGGAGGAGAATAGAAATGTTTATGGATCCAAGACCAGCGAAGTGAACTTTGGCTAACAAGACACTTTGGCTAAAAGAGACACTGGTCTCTTTTTCCTCCCTAATCTTTACTTTGATGGTTTATATGACAACTATTCAGAAGAAGAAAGGAAAAACTAAGTGAGAGCACTCTGTAAACCATAAAGTGCCACATAACTAGAAATACTACTATTTGATCAATTTACCAAATAATGATGACACCCATACCACATAGAAAATTGCCCTTGATTGATCTCAGGTTATCAGTGCATTCACATTTACCCTAAATAAACATAGTGACTTACCACTACCTGATTTTCTTCCTAAATTCAGTAATGAGTTACTATGTTGATTTGGAGTTGTGAAAACTGTCATTCTTAAGAACAACTGATTCACACAAAGGCACATACACAGATGTACCTAATGTCTTGACTTAAGTTGACTGCAAAGAAGGCAAAGTTCATCGCATTCTGTTTTAGTTGTTCACCTCCACGTTGGGTATCTTGTCTCAGTGTATGTTATTTTCCTTCCTTTCTATTTACCAACTTAAATTTATCTGCCTTATGTCCTATCCCCTAGATTTCTGCTAGCTGATCTGAGAAACAAGGTTGCTCAGAGGAACTAATCTGTTTTCATGTATTGTAATTCTACTATGTAACTTTCTCTGGCAACTTATTTGTCATTTAACAGGGGTGTTCTGGAACCAGAGGTACACCAGAAGAGGGACTCATGATAGGAATTTCAAATACGGTGATCATCACTGGGGTAGGTATTTTCAGATATGAGAGAATCTACATGAAATCATATCGTATATATGGTCACTTATATGGAGGAGCATCCGTGAAATTCTCCCTTCTATGTCTGTCCTGTTATTGAGCTGGAAAAGGGCACTAGCTGCGCGATCAGGAGATCTTAGCTCTAGAATCACAGAATCCAGAGATGAAACACCATCTTACCCAACTACTCATCTAATGATCGAGGCCCCTCTACATCATCCCTATGAAATGATCATCCATTCTCTCCTGGAACACCTCTAATTATAGAAACTCAGTCCCTTTGGAGGCTGTGTATCCCATCTTAGAGCAGCTCAGACTGTTAACAAACCTTTTATTTAGTTGAAAGAATCTCCTTTATAGCTTTCAATCATTGGTCCAGTTCTACCTTTTGAAGCCAAACAGAACAAGCTTAACGTCTCTTTCCTCCTAACCATTTAAATAAGGCTAACTGTGCTAATGTTAGCTACCATTTATAGAGTGCTGATGATGCGCCAAGAGTTGTTTTAAGAATTTCATATATTAATTCACTTAATCTTGAAAACGACACTCTAAGAAAGATGCATTACTGTTATTCTCATTATACAGACAAGGAAACAAGTGTAGAAAGATTAAGTAATTTTCTCAAGGTGACAAAGTTCAGTAGTGGCTAAGTCTGATTTCAAACCTGGGCAATGTAGCTCCAGAGCTCCAGCTTAACTACTACGTATGCTGCCCCAGAAGCTCAAATACTTGGATGTTATATGATGCTCTGAGTCTTCTTTTTTGCAGGTTGAACAGCCCTCGGACCTTCAACCATGATAGGTCCATAGCCATGGTTTTGCATTCCTTCATCATCCTAATTATACTCCTCTATGTCCCAGTCTATTGTCTTTTTAAAAGGTTAGTGCCCAGACCAGACTGTGGTCTCTAGATGTTGAAAATAGAGAAAAAGCAACAGAAAATAGAGTGAGTCTATCACTTCTCCATTTCGGGGACCACAAATGCAGCATAAGCTTGCATCAGCCTTGTTGCAGCCTCTTCAAGCTGATGGTTCATACAGAACTTACTACAGACTGAAACTCTCATCCCCATTCTGCCTCTATGACTTTGGTCTGTAAAATGAAGTGACTGGAGTATATACTCTCCAAGGACATTTCCAGTTGTAAACACCTAGAATCAAAGACTGTATTACAAAGTTCAATGTATGTAAGGGATATTGTGCCTGCAAATTCCTCGTCAGACTTTTTCCCATTTGGCCCTTCTCCACTGGGTTTCTGTGATTTTGTATTTTGGTGGCAGATGCTTCATGCCTACAATGGGGGTATTGTTGGGGCTTCTAGAAGATGGCTGGCAGTGGGGTCTCCTTCAAATCTGGAAGATGTCTCCAAACCTTCCCCTGTACTTGCCGTCCTGCCCCTCCCTTCCTACAGCCCCCTCACACCCACCGCCTGCTTCCGGGCCTCCAGAGGGGTCTGCACACTCACCTGTGTGTACGAACATGTGCTTGACGTAGTTCTGTTTGGCGGTGAAAGTCTTGTTGCAGAGAGTGCACTCGTAAGGCTTTTTTTCGCCCTGCCCACTGGCTGTGCTGTGGCCTGCGGATGGGGCCAGGGGCTGTGGCGCTGGCAGCTGTGCAGTAAAGGTCGACAGGCCAGGCTGGGACACTGTCACAAACTGGGTCTGCTGGCCTGCCAGGGGCTGTGGCAGGCTGAAGAGGAAAGGCTTGGGGCCACTGCCCGCGGGCTGGGTAGTGAAGAGGGCCGGCAGGTAGGTGTTGCCGGCTGTGCCAATGACCTGTGTGTTGCTGGTCAAGGTCAGAGGCATCCTCAAGTTGCTGGTGAGGGTTTCTGTCTGGCGTAAGTAGAGCTGGGTACTTGGCAATGGCTGCCCAATGGACGTGTTGACCGAAGGCTGCTGCAGGACGCTCTTGTCAGAGCTGTTGCTGACAGTGATGACCGTGTTGTCCATCTCCACCTCGTTGCTTCTTTCTGGGGAGGAGGCACCTGTCTCTAGCTGGTGCGGCTGTGGGCCACCCTCGGCAGGAGCTTCCGTGGCCTGCTCAGCTTGGGCAGGTTCGGCCTGGCCATCCCGCACTGCCCCGGGCCCAAACTGCTGCTCCACCGAGTCAGGCTCGGTGCCTATGGAGGAACTGACGCCCGAGTCGAAGCTTTCACCCTTGGGCTCACTCTCAGTGCCCTCTGCTTGGTCGGTGTCTTCCGTGCACTCCTCGGATTCGTTGCGCTCCAGGATCTGCACCCTTTGCTGCCCATAGTAGTCATAATCGTCCTCCATCTCCTGCTTAATGTGGATGTTGCCCACCAGGGTCTGGATGCGCACGGGCCGGGGCTGCTTGCGGCAGTGTGTGGTCTCGGGGGTGGTGGACAGGTAGCGCTCCATCTGCTGAGAGCGCTCATGGATGCGCGTGATCCAGCTGGGGTCTTCCATGTGGTGGTCACGGGGCAGGCCGAGTGCAGTCTCATGGTGGCTGACCACCGCACCGCTGTAGAAGGAGCGCTCCCCGCTGCCGTTCTGCATGGAGCATGCATAGAGCGCTGAGTAGATCCTGTCCACGCTGTGCTGCGGGTGGCTCTGTAGGTAGCCCGACTCGGTGTCGCTGCTCTGGCCCGATGTGCCTGACTCGGGGGTGCCCCGTGGCGTGTCCTGGCCTGAGTCCTGGATCCCCGGGAACACATCACCCACGTTCTGTGACACGATGCGCGTGCACTCATCGATGACTGTTTTGATCTGCAGGATGCTGGCGGCCGTGAGGATCTGCAGGGCTTCCGACTGCGAGACGCGCAGCACGCCGCTGTACATGAAGTCAATGAGCTTTTGCACCGACTGCACCGACACCACGGATGGGATCTCGATGTCGCTGTAGCCCAGCAGCAGCTTGTCCTGGAAGAAGGGGCTGCCGGCTGCCAGCACGCAGCGGTGTGCGCGCAGCATGCTCCCGTGGATGCGCACCGTCACGTCACAGAAGTGGCCACGGTTGCGCTGCTCGTTGAGGGTCTCGAGCACGGAATTGCTGAAGTTGTGAAGGTTGATGCTGTGAATGCGCTCGGTCATCCCCTTGCAACTGATGTCACCTGCACGGTGGCAAGACAGACACAAGACAAGGTGTGTGGGTCAGAGCTAGCTGACTGCATTCCTAACACCCAGGTCTCAGGTGGGTCACGCTCATGGCTCCTGGAAGCACCCCCACCCCCGACCTTGCAGACACAAGCGGCCTCTGTGGCGAGATGGACATGCTTTGCACATGGATCGGCTGCGGGTATGACGGCCTATGGGAACGAGGCCTTGGATTTGGCTCCAACAATACCCCTGCTATTTTGGGTACTGAATCCCTGTTAATGCCCTAGAGCTTCAGCCGGGGTTGCCAGTTGAAGTAGGACAGCCTAATAAACAGATGGGTCATTTGCCTGCTCTTCCTAAAACTGCAGCACATAAGACCTGAGAAACAAATGGAAGACTGCTTCTCCTGGAATGCTCTATCTCTACTTTAGACAGGTCGAAGCCGAGGTCCTTTGGGAAAGCTTACATTTTCCCCAGTTTTTCAGAGTTCCTGATTTTATTCATAGCAACAATATTCATAGTTAAAAAAATAAACTCCTTTCCTATTTATTACTTTATATGTGTATTTCTCAGTCCACACCATGTATGCAAAAACCCTTGGAAAATCCAATCCAGACTAAGATATCCCCCAAGCAGCTGCCTCCACGTTTTCCACTTGAGGGACAGGCTCTAGGATGCTGTCTGCTGGCTAAAGGGGTGCTTACACACTCTTGTCATCTCTGACAACCTGTCTGAGGACTTTCTAAAGTGGTCGTATGTGACATGGTTCGTTTTCTGCATTTCCTGAAGCTTAACAAGGAAGGAATGTTCAAAAGGTCGGAGATGGCAGCATTGAACTGGGAGAGTATAATATACCAGGTGATCACATTTAGTGTTCAAACTGGGCACTTCTGAGAGTGAAAGGGAGCACTGTTGATAATTAGGGGAGGACAGCAGGAGTAAACCAGGAATGGGCTGTGTGATCCCCCTAGGCAATACTGTGTTCTATGCACTTGCTACAGGGAAGTATCAAATGGCTCCCAGTGGGAAGACAGCAGTCAGCTACGTGGAGGCTGTCCATAGCCTGACCCACTGCCACCCTTACACCCCGGGCTCTGCAGACAAGGGATAACAGTTACATTTGGATCACAGATTGAGAATTGAAATGGGTGGCTAGAACACCAAGGCTTAGAGCTTTCCTATTTTTCTACCTCACTTCTCAAATGGTTCTAAAGAATCCCTCTCTCCGAACCATTCTTCATTTATATTCCCCATTCTTGCCTTCACAACTGAATAATCAGCTCGAGAGAGGCCAACTAAGTGGGCTTTCACAATCAGGTGGCCCAAGCACTGATTGCTGGCCTGTGACCGGGATCCCCGTGTCTTGTGAGAAGTAGCCCCCAGAGGTAATGACCTGCAGATGGGAGGAATGCCCACATCCTCAGGTTCTTTCTCCTCTGCCTTAGCACAGAGGACCAGTTCAGGAAAGTCTGAGCTCCGCCAGCTCTACCTCGCTGCACTCAATCTCCTCATGCTGCCTAAGCTCTGTCGGTGTGACCGCATCCTTTTACATACTCATTTATTTCCTTTGTTCCCGTCTTTACATTTAGTAGGCCTCACATATATCCCGTTAACTTAATACATGCCTAGAGGCTCTATATTCACTTTCAGTCATAGGATTTGCACTGATTTTTACATAAGAGACTTCCTTCTTGTCCTGACTTCCATTAGGTCTGTGATGTGCTGAAAATATTGCATTGGGCTCCAGTTTCTACTTTTTTCACTGTTGTAAAAACAAATTGTCATTGCCAGATTAAAGAATCATGGTGAATCCTCTCTAACTGTGTTAATACAAAGTACAGCCCCAGAGGAAGGCCCCAATAACCCAGGAAGACGTTCAGGAAATCAGTCAGCAGACCAAATTCTAAGTCCTTGCTGAGTCCCCCATGCACAGAGCGCACTATAACAACAAGAGCAAACATTCCTTTTTTTAATGCTTACTATGTATTACCAGATTATTTCATTTAATCATCACAGCAACTCTTATCACATAGGTATTATTATGATTTTAAAGATTTTACTTATTTATTTGGTACAGAGAGAGAGAGTGCGCGCACAAGCAGGGGGAGTGGCAGAGGGAGAGGGAGAAGCAGGCTCCCCACTAAGCAGGGAGCCCAACCTAGGGCTCGATCCCAGGACCCTGGGATCATGACCTGAGCCCAAGGCAGATGCTTAAGCGACTGAGCCACCCAGGTGCCCCACGTAGGTAGTGTTATTATCCCCATTTAAAATGAGGAAACTGAGGCCATACAAATTAAGAAACTCGCTCAAGGCGTCATAGGCGATGGGTGGTAGGGCTGGCATTTGAGCTCAGCGGTCTGGCTCTAGAATTTTCACTCTTACCTGCTTCATTGTATTGCATGCTTTGCCCTAAATGATGTCTGGCCCCCGGGTGTCCATAAATCCACTGTAAAGCTCTGTGAAAAAGTCTGTTCAGTATGTTCTCCAGCTGCTTCTACACCTACCCTTGAATTAGTATGGTTTCTAGGCCTTGGGACGTCAACATAGTCTCAGGAAATCTAACATAGAGACATCTTTTTTTTTTTTTTTTAAGTTTACAAATGGAACAATGCAAGAGATAAAACATCATGTCCTGGCACTAAAATGTAGTTTTCTAGATACAGTTTTACTATTACTGAAGTTTTTTTTATTTAAGTAAAACAGTAAGCACTAAAAGTAACTTTTTTCCACACAGGTGAAAACACTCTTTAAACACACATTTGCTCTTAGCACCAGTCACAGCAATATCACTAGATTTGTCATTTATGATGAAGAGTTGTCTTCCTTATGATAATTCTGGGAAGAAACTCTACAAATATCCTAATAATATCCATGTAGCATTTCACAGTGTACAAAACTCTTTCACATACAACATCTTAGTCTTTCCTTAAAAGCATCCTGTATGTTCTTAGGACAAGTCCTATTATTATTATTTGATGTAAGAAAAGGTTGAGGCTATCAGAGTGTTCAAGTGACTTACCCTAAGTTTTACACAGCTAGTAAGAGGCAGGATTGGGATTAGAACCCACACCCCTGGATGCTTTTTTTTTTTTTTTTTTTTCACTCTGTAACACTGGATTGCTGAAGAATGAAACTCAGATTGCCTAAAGATCTAAGGCCATCCTAATCCTCAGGACATAGAAGAATAGATAAAAACACTGAAAGTGATGATGGAGGTTGCTTTAGAGAGGGAAATGGTCAAGCAAAAGGTGTCCTCATACTACACACACTCGTACACACACGCACACACAATCTCATGAGAAAAATTCAAAGTGCTTGTTTGACTGAACTGGCTGAGTCTATCTAAACAATTATGTAACCCTGTAGAGATAATCACAAAAAATTGTGAAATGGTCTGAATTATGATTACTGCAGTAATGTCACCAACTTCATTAAAAACCACAGAGACAAACTCAAACCTGCACACATGTACAACCTGACCCGGCAAGCCTAGCTGGATTTTTATAGACACAATTTTTAAACATCTCCCTGAGTACACTAGTCCCACACTGCAGCGAGCAGCCATGAAAGGCTGAATGGGCTTTGCTGATACGGGTACAGATGCGATGGGGGACCCTGCCTCTCCATTCAGGCGCGCCTGGTTCCTCCCGCACACAATGCTGAAGCAATTCTTTCCCAGGCTTTCTTTTATATTTAACACTAATACAGTGGGAAAAAGTTTCTGCCACAGCAAGGCAATGTCCAGGCTTTTGTGAAGCAGGTCCTTTCATCCAATGGGCATTAATGTATAGATTCCAATGGAATAAATCTGAAATACTCTACTGTAGAAGATTTGTTCCCCATTGAAAACAAATCTTGATTAGATGGTTATTCAGGGACTGTATAGGAAGGAATGGTGTGAAAATGCTAACTCCATTCTTTCCTAGATTGGCACTGAATAGGCATTTGGGCTATTCAAAAAAAAAAAGAAAGAAAAAAAAAAGAAAACACCAACCACTCTCTCAACTCCACAAAACCATACAACTTTACAAAGATTATGTATATTTGGGGACGCCACCTCACCCAAAAAATAACCCCACGGTGGTGTGAACATAGAACCGATGAGATAAAATGAAAAGAGTGATAAAAATAGTTCTCCGTGTGTTTAAAAATAATAACCAGCCTCCTTTCCACTAGAGTAAAAATATAGAGTCAGCCTGAGATGGCATTCACTAGAAACATGCAAGGAACCCTACCACCGAGAGTGGTCATGTATTCTGAATGACTGTGTTCTGTGAGCGAGCACAATACGGATGGGGCTGCAGCAGGGCGAGGACCGAAGGGAAAATCGGCTCATGGTGAAAGAGGTGATGGGGGGCCTGGCTCCGCCTTATAGGAACCCAGCTCCTGCCCGTCTCTTAAACTGCCGGTGTCCAGGGATAAGGCTTAGCACGAGAATAAAAAACTGCTTGTGTGCAGGGGGAAAATGAACACGAAAGGAAACATCAGGCAATACAATCTCCTTTAATTAGGTGGGAAATCCAGCTCTTCCTTAGCCCGGATATACAAAATGAGACCAGGGCAAGGGTGAGGTGCTACAGAGGGAGATGGGAATCTGAAGTCTCTATGATTTGGGAGGAAACACCAGCTCTCAAATTAAAACCCATATGAATTCCGGTCAAGTCAACACGTCTAAGTCAAATGGCAGGGCCGAAAAGCCCTGGAGCTTTCAATCTGGGCCACCAGGCTCACATGAGGTAAGTGGGTCAGCTCATGAACTAGGGCTGGGGTGGCCAGGCCTCCGCAGCCCCGTCTCTCATATCACACTCTTTCCCACATAGCATGTTGATGCCTCTACTGTGTTGAGGTTGCCCTTTCATGTGTTAGGGGATTGGTGATGTTAGGTCCTAAGCTACTGTGTGTTGGCTACTTAGACCAAGCTGGTCATGCTAGGAAAGGCCCATTCCTCTCCTGAAGAAGCAGGGATGCATGTGGCTACTCAGGTCCTTTCCTCCCCAAATCTACATCTGTTGCC